GATAACTTTAGCTTCGGTAGTATCGACATTAGCTGTCTCTATTTCAGTGACACATCTTATCTGCCACAGCTATTTTTTAGCTCTGGAAGCTAGTTTTTTTTGCGTGTAAATTGGCGCGATAGTGGTCACCGATATTTGTTTTATCATAGAAATAATACGCGCGTACGTACGCGTGGAAGCAAATGCGTTATCGTCTTGGGCGATGTAAGACTTTCACGTGTATGAAAAGTGATAATATTCATGCGAAAAAAATGATACCGTTTGTAGAGCAATGATGTATACGCATTATGACGTATTATCATACGAATATATATATATATATCAGTATTTTGTTTGTTATTCAATATTTTTCTCAGCTATGCACATTTTGAGTTAAGCAAAATTAAACTCATCTTGGAAGGTTCTTAAAGTATAAATATCATGTGTCATTTAAAAAAAACAGTCGGATAGATGTACGCTGAAATATGAAGTAGTGGAGTGGTGATGACATCTCACATATATTCAGCTTATCATCTATATATCTTAACTCAACTTTCATTTGAACAATTATTTTCTAACACTTAGTGTTTATGAATGATTTAGGTATATTATTTTATTTCGAACTGAATATTCCGTGTTGAAAATTTAAATATTTGTATTTATAGAGATCAAAACGTACACAACACAATAAAAATATTTAGAGTTAGATACGCGCACGCGTGTCCAAACACTGCATTGAAAAAGTTAGTCGATAAAAAATTAACAAACGTATATTTCCGATCAAACTGATGAATTTTTGTATCTGATCAAGAAATATCCGATGAGAAATACCGGTGCATATCTTTTTCATCGGTTTATCTGATGAAACACCATTATGATCGGAAGTATTCGATTAAATTTAATCGGATATCCTGATCGAATATAAAAATTCATCGGTATTTTGATCGGAAATATCCGTTTATTAACTTTTTATCGGATAATTTCTCTCAGTAATTTCTCGCGGTGGTAATTTATTGATTAGACGTTGTACTCAATCCTTTATTTCCCAAGAGAAAAATCAACCGAATATCTTTAAAACCATCGGGTTGGTCGTTAAGCTTGATGTATCCGAAAGTGGAATTTGCGCGAAACAGAATCGCCTTGTCGCTCGACTTGATTGGATCGCGTTACCGTACGGTCGGAGTTGGATAACGCTCGAGGAACGATAAAGGAAGGATAGATCGTCAGTGTAATATCGGTTGCATCTAATAAATATTTAGTATCTCATACATATTCGAGAGTTTGGCGCGAATAACGGCGATCGTTAGCTGCTCCTATTTGTTCCGGAACACGGAGCGCACGTTGTACGCGCGAAATCAGGCCCCGGAGAGTCCGCTGGGAGCGATTTGAGAAATTGTCACGTGAATATCTTTGGAGAATTCGAAGAAGCTGGGCGTGGTCCCCGATGCTTCTCGACGCGGCCGATATTATTCCGTCCGTCCGGCGCCGCGAGTCTGGGGACAAGTGCAGGTGCAGTTGCAGTCTGGTAACATCGCATCTCATGTCGTACGGAGGTGGTACAGTCGAAAAATATAACTCGATAAAGGAACGCAGCAATTCCTTTAAACGGAGCAAGTTTTCGGGGAGCAGTTTTGCAATCGACGTGGGTCGATAAAAGAGCCTCATAACGGGCTACGTAATTAGCATCTTGCATAAATTTTTCACGCAATAATTGCGTAAATTAATTACTTTTCGATTTGTCGCTAAATAAGCACCTTAGGAAAAAGTTATGCAAATTGCTCTTCTAAATCTTTAATTATTCACAATTAATTTTTAGCTAATATAAATATTCTGCTTCATATTATTACACTGTATATAAATCTTACGTTTTCTTGTCAGAAAAAATTGCTATTAAATTGTATACACTTAATGTATTAAAACGTTACTTCATGCTCGATCTATCGTAAATCCAATTAAGCTTAACATCCTGAGAATTTAATAGAAATAGTTGTACCTATCGTAGATAACATCAATCAACGATATATAAAAATCATTTTAGAAATTTCTTTAAGCATGTTTAGTATTGAATATTATTCTCAGTTTGTAGTAGCATCCAACGTTTTGAACGCATATAATACGTATGAAAAAATCATCTATTAAAGTTTGAATAGTATGAGTCTATTGATATTATAAGAGCCGTGATAATTGAACAATAAAATTTTTATAGAATTATGCAAAGGTAACCGATTGAATAGTACTCACTAATATATATTTTCGAAGATATTTATTTCAATATAAGTAATAGACAAGGGGAGGGGGAGTAAGAGAGAGATGAAAATATCGTTGATACAGCTAGATATATGTGACTGGACACCGAGAAACTTAAAAAAATCGCTTATATATTTCTAATTGTTCATATAATATAATAATAATTATAATAATATAATAATTGGGCGCTTACGGGAGATAACAAGGAATGTATTTATATATACAAATACTGTAAATTAAATATCTACAAAATTGGATTTATCCTCCTTACATCTCACGTAGAGGCGGGTGTAAAGAGTTAAAACAGTCATTACACAGAGATTATTATATATATAATATCGCTTTAGACGCGCTCGGTTAATCGCCAATAGAGGCGTATCATATCAACAATGATATAAATAAGTATCGATATTTAGGCATGCAATATTTCCTATTTCTTTCTTCTCTTCATCACAGGTTGATATATGCGTACATACACAAAGGTTACCTATCATATAACTACAGTTATGCTTGCTCGTAACACTATCTCGCACGCATCGCGATAATCATTCTAATTGGAAGCACAACACAGTAGACATTACCTTCACGAAACATCTTCCTCATCTATGTGCGCTTGCACGATCAATTTAATTTCCCCGAGCCAATAGTCTGGACAATGATTTACGAAGGTAGGAAATGCAAATTTCGCTCTTTTCACCATAACTATAGATCAAACGTAAGACCCGCATCAAAGAAATATCTGTTTGCACTTATATCGATATTTAATAATTATATCGATATTTTTATGAATATTACAGTTAATTCTAGTTCTTCGTAACTAAGGATTACACACGTTTCGCTGGTTCACATGGTTACAACACAAGATCGTAATATTTTTGGTAGATCCGTCAGTCCCCGAAATCGTACTCTTGTTTACTCATACACAACTGACAAAACGCAACGTGAAAATCGCGTCGTGAGTTGTTAGAACTGTTACTGTTAACCGTCGTGATGAACGATGTCTACATATACCGACATGTGCACGATGGAGTGATGATACTCCCGATAATATGCGTAATACAATAGTTTGCGATACATACAGCACTTTGTCATTTATGGCTTAGGTTTACGCGCGCATTGGCATTGAGCACATTCATTATCTCAATAAGAATATGAGCTTAGTGGTTGCAAGTTATATACATACGCTCGTCTTCCCGATTCAATTGCACTAATATACTCGTAATAACAAGAAGCTCTTTTTGTCACTACAAACAACTTGAGCCGCGACGTGAGTCGCACCGCCATTCATCGAAATGCGCGAACAAGGAGCGCTTCGCCTCTAAGGCCGGTTCTACAATACGTCGTATATCAGAGTCGGATGTCGGAATGCAATCAATGATTCAATTAGGAGAACTCATCTCGAAAAACAAATCCTCTGATTGGCCCATCGACTGCGTTCCGACGTCCGACAGCGACATACGACGTATTGTAGAACAGGCCTAATTGTTTTCCGTCGGTTCCGAGAGCGTGCCAGTACCAATGTCGAAATGTTTTCTACGATTTCTCGAACAAATGCTTCAACATTCCATCAGCCGCACTGCCCCGACATTATTCGCGTTTCGGCGATCAGTTCGGCTAATCCGAGATATCGTCGAGTAAAACTGAAACAATCGGAATACACGTAAGAGGAAACATCGGAGACGTCGCGTGCGACACGGCACAATCTCTCACGGATATTCTAAGGAACCGCGCATTACCACTCGACGCGTTGTGTGTGTAAAAATGGCGGAGTGGAAAGGAAATGTACGAGGCTATCGATATGTTGCGCCGCGGTCGAATTTATGGCAATAAAAACGTATGAGAAATTTCTAGCGAGACGCCGGAGGAAAAAGGGAAAACGGTAAGTCGAAGAAGAGCATTAAGCTATGTACAAAAGTACGTGAACGTAACGTAATTAACGGATTTGATTTCTCTCGGCATCGTTGATCCACGTAGCGCTCTGTACGCCGCGCGAAATGCCACACTACAGATATCCGTAGAAAACGATATCACAATACATCATGACGCGAAGGAATAGATTTACAACGATATTACGAGTGTGTGTGTGTGTGTGTGTGTGTGTGTGTGTGTGTGTGTGTGTGTGTGAGAAAGAGAGTTGCTAATAACAAATTAGTGTAGCAACGGTGCACGCTTTAACATTAATCGACGCATCCTTACGGCATTACGTTATTGCACGAGACGATAGAAAAGTATACTTTCGATATTTCCCGTTTCCCTGTTAAAGCACTTTGTTTCGTATATTACGCCTGTGGCTTTCCTTCGTCGCGAGTGTAAGTCAATTATCGGTCGGCGATAAGGCATTCGACCTTTTCCGCGTGATCTTCGCCGGGAAGATCCATTCACGTTTCCGCGCACGCAACTATTCCAAGACTCCCGACCATCTTACACTCGTGCCGAGTAATATTATGTGATGATTATAATACATATACAATTTAAATATACGTTCCTACATCGGATTGATCGTCATACAGAGTCTTTAACGCATAAATTACTATTTATTATTACTATTTACAACGTATAGTCGCGCAATCCATTCCTCTCGTTGATCGTTATTTCGACAAAATATCTAAAAAGTGGCTGACGCCACTGCACGGGGGAAAAGTATTGCAAAAATTACAACAAAATTAAAACAATTTGTAATCTTGGACTATACAGGATTATGACAAAAAAATATACATATAATTTAAAAATGTTGTTAAAAATATATGTTATAAAAAATATAGATATAATTTAAAAATATACAAGGTGTCTCAGATCTCCATGGTGACCCTTTGTGAGAACGTAGAACGGATTGAGGTGAGCAAGGAAGTCCTGTGCCTTTGCGATATTCGCAATAATAGTCGAGATATTAATTAAAAAAGATTGGTGAACGATCACGCGCAATGGTAGAAGTAGTCATTTGCGAAATAGTAAAGGACTTTTTTGTTCAGTTTGACTTAATGTATAAGTATACAACGGCAGACGGCGCCACTGCAGCTCATCTATCATATTGCGCGTGATCAGTCATCAATCTTGTTTAATTAATATCTCGATTGTTATTGCGAATACCGCAAAACGGCACAGGACTTTCTTGCTCACCTCAATCCGTTCTACGTTCTGACAAAAGATCATCATAGACATCTGAGACACTCTGTATATACTGTTAAAAAAAAATATATATATACGTTTAATTTTTTACTACATTATTGTAATTGCTTGATTTTTTACTACATTATTATAATTGCTTGATTTTTTACTACATTATTGTAATTACTTGAACATTTTTATATTATATATCAGATAAGTGTTGTTAAATTTACTATTTCTACCGTAATTTATGCTACAAAAAATTTCAGCACAGTCCAACTTTACAAAATGTTTTACATTATAAATTTTTACATTGTAAAAATAAATAGAATTTTAACTTCTGCTACAATAATTTCCCCGTGCAACCGTCAGTAGCGCATCGTTTGGAACATCTGGTCGCATCTTACTTGCTTCAAATGCAGGACGTTCCAAAAGATTCGTCAAATGATCAAAAACGAGATGCGCGAATGGTAGAGTAGCATAGATAATCCTTCGCGTTTCTCAGGAGTATTCGCGTTATCATTTGTGTCTGCTGCAAAGACAATCATGTCACTCCTCTGGAGGAAATATACGAACGAGAAAAATTACAAAAATAAAACCCGTTACGTGCACATACACAACACGAGACACGCACAAACACACGTGCAAACACATACATACAAACATACACGAGCATCACAATAACGGACGGAGATGAATCTCAGGAAACGTGAACGGAATTGCACTTTTTAATGAACCTCCTAATTGTACCTCCTAATCATCGGGACGAGCTGACCGATTTTCCTTCATCAAACGTAGACCTCGCTCCTCTTGCTGCCCGCGACGGTCGTCGTGGCGGGCACGCTCGCGGACGACGTCGAAGACGCCGAGCCGAAGCCGCTCGAGAGCGACGCGTTCGTACACGAGACGCTGCTGATCTTCCTCGACGCGTCCTGGGCCCTCTGAGTGGGCCTGGACAAGTCGTGACCGAAACTACTGGTGCGCGGTCGAATGGCCGAATGGCCGCCGGCCAGCTTGTCCACGAGCCCGTCCTGCTTGCTCGACACGGAGGCTGTTCGGGTCTCTCGCGGCTGCAGCCCCGGTGACTGCGGCAGCGATATGCTACGGTCGTCCCGTTGTTGAATGACCGGCGGGCCTGGCAGGGACGCTGATCGTCTACCTCGCGCGTCCGCGCTCGCGTTGCTACTCGGAACGGGCACGGCGGCGGTGACCATGTAGCTGAGTTTCTCCGGTCTCATGAGAATCGGTGAACGATCGTTGTAGCCGCCGAAGGTGGGCGAGCTGCCGTTGCTAGCGATCGGACTGTTGTTGTTGTCGATCAGCGGCGTCGAGCGGTCCTCTTGGCCGGTGATACTCCCGCTCCTGCTGCTACCACTTCCGCTACCCTCCTCCTCGCTGCTGTTGACCTCGGTCAACGTCGCCTGGACAACGTTACTGACCGAGTTGTTGATGTGTGTCGTCGAGGATGTCTTCATGAGACCCAACTGCGTCAGATGGCCCATGGTGACCGGCGTCAGGGTCACCGGCGTCATCAGACCAGCGCTGGTTAACGTCGGCGAGAGCACGGCCTGCGCCAAAGCCGCCGCGCCGGATTTGCCTGACGAGGGTGTACCCTCGGTCTCTTGGATCGGCGACAACACTACCACCGACAGGTCGGTTGGATAGTGACCGTTCGTTGGTATCACACCTACCACGCCCGCGCCGATATTCGCCGCGTTAGTAGCCGACAGTGCCAGCCGCTGCTCACGGTCGACCACCTCTTTCGTCACGTCCGGAGTCGGTATGCGCGGCCTGTTCTTCAGCGACACCGGCACCGAGTTCAGTTTCGTCATAGTGCCTGCAATTAGAAGCGAATCGCGACCGTTAGAATGGCGCCTTGGCGCGCATTTCCGGATTTGGAGCGATTCCCCGAGGTCGCGCGCAGAAAATAGGTAACGACGTTGTCGATTATACTAACGATCCCCGTGGAAAGCGCGTCGGGCGCGAAGCGTGGAAATGGGTCCTGTTAGACCATGGCTCTGGCGCCGGACGGGAGGCACGTCGAGTTATGCGTTGACGAGGATATAATTACGCGGATGCGATACGTTTGATACACGGCGCGTTGTCTGCGCTGAGGACACAGTGGGGGGAAAAAGTAAAAAGAAGCACAAGGACTTAGGAGAGACTTTTCTCGTCGAATGCGCCGTGATAATCGCGGAAATCGCTGAGGTCACGCAAGGTCGGCTTGCTGCGTTACGTCATCTTTCGCGTACGTGGAAGCGATAAAGGAAAAGCTCGCATCAGACTTTCTTTCGACGGCAGTCATGATTCACGGGAATCACGAGAAAAATTCCTCGTCTATTTCCGTCCGTATTGCCGCGCCTTTGTGTTAATGAAACAAATGGCTTATGTTAATATTCTCCTGGGTAAAAGATCCCCGAAATTTCATGTGAATAAATTTGAACGGCATCGCAGAACACGTTGGTTGGTGTTCTATAGCCTATTGAAGCATTGCGCGATTCATAATGCTGGTTAATTACCTGTGTGAGTAAAAATTCTTCATACAACAAACTAATTTGCACGAGAGGCGATGGATGAACGTTCATGATGCAAAAGTCAATAGATCTTGGGCGTTTACGTTACGTAATGACTCGGTCGTAAGTATTATCGAAGCGCAGGAGCAAATATGATCGTTAATATTGACATATCGTCATTAAGATGATGGCAAACAAGAGCCTGTCGTGCGACAGTTCGCCGCATAATGCTAATTCACTTTTTGCCGGGTTTCTTTTCCTTTGCGTCAGCTCGTCAAATTTCTGAAAACGCCTTTTATCGGAAATGTATATATACACACCTTGACGGCCCATTCGTTGACTGCGGACGCTCTTGCGTCCCACAAGACGATCGTACAGAGACATTTTGAAGTTTGGATTGTTCGTTTGCGGAAGACCACCGGTCTCGGGGCTGCTGTACACGCTGTTGTGGCGGTTTCGATTGAAGAAACCACCACCGCTGCTGTACGTGGTCGAGGAGCTTCGTACCGAGCCCACCCGGGTGATCTGCCGTTGAAACCAACCGTTCTTCTTCCGTTCGACCAATGGGGTGTCGACGCTCTCCTAAAAGCACAGGAAATATTCAAGGTTCGCGAATCATCGCGAGAGCGTAATGATATAATTACGAATTACTAAAAAAGATTTCGCCCCAACTTATCGCTTTATGATTTGCTGGTCTAGATAGAATTATAAATGTCTATTAGATTTGGTTTCCGGGTTTGAGCTGCGTGGATTCATCTTCGTTTGATTCCGCAAATATTTCAGTCCGCTTCATCAGGGAGGCATCGGGTCGTTCCTCCCTGATGAAGCGGACTAAAATGTTCGCGAAACGTCAGAATCAAACGAAGATAAATCCACGCGGCTCAAACCCGGAAACCAAATCTAATACGCATGGACACCGCGAAAGCCTAAAAAATCAAATTATAAATAAATGTCATAGTTATAACAATCGCTGTTTGTTGCGTCTGCTAGAAAATTATTTAGTGCGTACAGAATTTAGTGCGTACAGTAAACAGTAAGTTGCGTTGATGTTGACCAAATCGTAATCATTCAATCTATTAATAACTCTTTCATCCAATAATGATATAATTCGTCTAAACTCTTTCATCCAATAACGACATAATTCGTCTAAACGTTTGTGTGAGCGAATTTTGTTCGTTCAAGCAAGGTTTCATAATTGAATGAAACTCTACTTCTCTGCTACTTCTTTTTCAATGTATTTATCTTAAGGATGAGAAAGGAATGAGGGATGAAGGATAAGAGATGAGGGACGATATATGAGAGATGAGAGAAGATTGCATAAACGATCGATACTCACGTAATCGGCATACATATCGTCCTGATGAGCTTTGCGGTGCTGCACGTGACTGTGAATCTGCGTGCCCAACATAACGTTCGCGTAAAGAGCATCGCTATCTTTCACCTTATAATGTTCCGCGGAGCCCTTCGGCTCTTCCTTACGATACTGCTCGCTTGCGACGGTATACGGCAAGTCTTTGGGCACGACATCGTCCCAATACTGATCCTTCAGCAATTCCGGGTGTTCCTCGTGCATCTCGTCGACGATCATGTAACCCGCCTATCGCACACGCAACACGATAGATAAGAAAAAAACACATCAACATGCGGATAGGCAAAAAAAGAAAGAAAAGTTGAAGTGTTACAGTAATGAGAAAAAAAGTGCATTTGCATATAGATACATTGAGCTTTAAGTTCAGGTTCCGCTACTTTTGCATAATACATTATTCTTCTCGTCGAAATTCATAAATAATAACATAACGACTTATTATTCACGTGACTACAAAGCTGTGAGTTATAGTAATTGCGTAGCATACCTTGATGTGCCTATCAATCAGCCAATTCAGCTCGATATCGTCGTCATCCTCGCCGAATGGATTAATCAACACCTCGGCAACTTTCAGCCATCCAACGTAAAAACAGAACTGCAAAAAACACGCCGTATATATAACCTATGTATAAACTATGTATGGACTTTACGCAGGAGAACTATCAACTGCGTGCAAATAATATCCTTTGCTCCAATCACCTGTAGCGTCGTGAAAAACGGGAAATACATGTCCGGATCCTCATATTTTCCGGTGCCCTCGGAGTGTTTGACGAATTGTCTGCCAAGCAGAGCCGAGAAAAAGTAGGCGTACAATGATAGTGTTACCACCTGAAAAACACACGTCGGCAGATTCGTGAGAAAATTCTCCGTAAGTCGTCGCTGTCAAAAAAAAAAGAGGAAAGAGCAGGGGTAAGGAAAGGAATGCGGCAATTATGAAGAGAATTTTTTCCGTTCGCGGAAGCGAGCTATCGTTTTCTCAAGAAACAATGTCACCAATTCCGTGTTATATAACAATTAACGCGGCTGTGCTAGAATCCGTATCGCTTAAAGCTCCGGCGAACGGAAGCATGGTCGTGACAGAAGACAATTAACCACCACCGGAAGTCCTGAGCTTCGTAAAGATATTTCTGTCGCTCCTCTTTCCGTGGCGTAAATGCAGGCAAACAGGTTTGATGAATGAACGAATATCAAGGCCGTCGCGCGAGTGCCGCCTTTCTCAGCGAAGGTCATCGGGAAACGGTGGGTTTATGCAAAAATATAGCGTGGCTTGTACAAAGAGACTAATGGATAGAGACACTCGCATAAGCCTGGAATGCACGCCTCGGTTTTCGAGTCATCTGGGAAGACCGCGAGATACCGCGAGATGCAACGCGAAATCACTCCCGTGATTAAGGCGTGACGTATCGCGACAAAATTACTGTTCGACTCTCTTGTCTACCTTGACCATGCAACGCGCATCGACGCCGTGTTCCATGCGCAATTCATTATCCGCGCCGCGCGTCCGCCGCTGGAAATTTCAAGTGTCCAAGGACACATTTTTTGGATGAATTCATTGCAGCACTTGTGAGTTGCTATAAATGTGCCGCTGAACATAGTTATGGAAAAAAGGGGGAATAAGTACATGTATTAATAATATACTATAATTATATCATCTTCAAAGCGAGTTGTGCGAAGAGCGCATTATTTCGTTATCGGTTCTCCAGTGATACAAATCTTTATCTATTCTGAGAGAAATTATACAATAAAAAATTAACAAATGAATATTTTTCATTAAAATAGCAATAAATTTTTGTGTCCGATGAGGAAACAATGAGAAATCGGTAATTTTTTGATCGGTTTATCTAATGAAATGCCATTATTATCGGAAGTATTCGATTAAATCTAATCGGATATTCTGATCGGATATAAAAATTCATTGATATTTTCATCGGAAATATCCATTTGTTAACTTTTCATCGGATAATTTCTCTCAGTACACTCTTTCTTTCAAGTATTTATTTGAACACTAAAATTATTACATTATTAGGGAGAGAAAAGTATTGCTTGTCGCAAAAATTTATCGGTATTTTGATCGGAAATATCCGTTTGTTAAATTGCATGTTATTAGGAAGAGAAAAATAATGTTCGTCAAAAAATAAAACGTCAAAGCAGAGACTCGAGCAAGGTACATCCGTCGTCACAATATACGACGTCGTGCGGCAGTAAGACAGCCTCTCAAAAGTTTCATTTAAGGCAGCGAGCAAAAACGTTTACATGTAAACGCAGGCATGTGCAATAACAGCGAGTATATCCAAAACGGGTATTAATCTTCGACGGATGTATCATTACGCGGTGAATACTCCGCGGTCGTTACGCGCAATCTTCTTGCGATTTCACGGAGTATGTCGAATCACGCTATCGTCGTAAGAGAGATTCATATTACGACCCGTACGTAAGGAAAGAAAAAAGATGCGCATAACGCAAAATATGTTTAACGCATCGTTACTTTGCCGGCTTTCCCAAAGCAACGACAACTTCGTTCGATGGGGTGTAATTATTATGTAGTGATTTCGATCAAATTTTACGATTTTATTACCTCCTCTCCTGACACGTGTTTCAAATATTAAATACTGATTATTATCATTATCGAGATAAATCCAGGATGTCATAAATATGTCGTGCATCTTGTAATAATTATACAACCGCGTAATTGGGGTAAAATCATGAAATATACCGCTCGGTAATTTCTCAACTTGTAAGAAGATCATAAAATTAATGCGTCAGCAGCAGGTCATCTTTGTATCAAGATAAATTAATGAAATTATTTGTGTGTACGAGAATGAATTTTATTTTTCTATCAAGATAAATTAATGAAATGGGTTTTTCGCAACGATTGAAATAACGAACGAGAGAAGTGTCCCTGTGGTAACACAATGGACACGAAGCGTGCCATTACGGCAGCTCCGTGTCGCCTCACGTTCGCCCAGATTTGCGAAATGGCACGGTCTTTAATTCCTCAAAAATAATGGCGTTTGCAGCCGACAGTTAGAGAAGTAAGTTGATGAACAATTACAATTGCACAACGCATGCTGGCTAATTACAAATACGAAAGACGTTTTTCCGGGAGTTCCGGGAGTTCCAGTTTGGTCTCGACGTGGCCTTAGTGTGTTATTCTGAATCCTTCGAGCGAGTAAGCACGGAATCGTTGAGAGAACAGTCGCGCGACGAAAAGAAAAAAATAAGTAACATTGTCGTGCAGATGACGAACGTGCTATTTGTCCGCCGTGTGACACCATCGACGCACGGATTCTGAAAATTACTTAACACTTCTGCGTAATTTTAACCGGTTGACAACACGAGCGTGTTAATGCGACGACAGCGGTGACATGATAATTACTGTGACTTTCACGTCATACGCGACAAATAATTAAGCAGCGGATTAAATTTCCGTATGGAAAAGAATCAACTCTATTAGTATAACTAAATTTTCTGTTATCTGGGAACTGGATAAAAAAGTCAATTATAGGAACCAAAACATAGGAGGTTTCTATTTGGTCAATTTCGAATCGAAATTTTGATCCTGCTTATTATTCCGTTCAACATCTATTTTAATACTTTGAAACTTACGTCCACCTTTTTCGATTCTATTTAATTTATCCGAGTCGAAATTTTACTTTCAGCCTTACTATTCCATTCAACATCTATTCTGACATTCTGAAGCCTATAATAGAACTTATATTAACGCTAAAAAAGTGAAAAGAGAAATTTCGGACATCATTAGAGTCAAAGCAGGAGTAAATTGTATCATTAGAATTAAACCTACTTTGCTAACATAGTTCCTACTGTGTTGTAGAATTCAAGGTTTAACATAAAGTCAAAATTTCGACTCGGGATTGCTTTCAAGTTACCTCAAACAAGTTTTATTGCAGTTGAGTGGTCAGACAAGTGTTTTCTATCACAGTACAGAGATATTATTTCTCGTCAAAGAGTTTTTCGTCTGGTTCCCATTCAGTTACACGAACTGAAATCTTTTTTCCGTGTGTATTTTGTCCGGCAGGATGATTAATGGGCGTGATTAGTATTTTTTATAAACTAAAACGACAATAAAATATACTTGACTGACGAGTACAAGTCCGAAAGAAGACCGGACAATCGTTTCAAATAACGTCAAAAATAGTTTTGTCGTTAATACACGCTTTTATGGGAATGCCAACAGGCCTCATTATTTATTTATCCACGGCGCGACGTCACAAATAGTAGATAAAATGTAAATAATAGATGCAGTTGACGAAGAATTACATAATAACGCGTCACGCTTCTAACGCTCAGAGCATGATAATGATGCGATCACCGGGGAACGATGAAGACATTCACGTAACATATTCGACATCTGCCAATGACGAGTGGCGCTATCTACAATTACTCTTTACATGATTTCCACGGCAAAGAGGAAAAACGGAAAAGATTGTTTTAAAAAACTCTCTTTTCCTCCTTCCTTTCTCTCTTCTCTACTACCTCTCTTTCCCTCCTTCTCTCCTTTGCTACACTGTAAAAACTGATGTGTTAAATTTAACATTTCATGTGTCCCAAATCATCCACTCTCATCTATGTGTAAATTTAACACAAAACAAATATGTTAAAAAACAACACGCATAATATAGAAAAAATTAACACAAGAATTTAATAAATACCGTTTTACTTAAATACCGTTACGAATCACAGATTGTATTAAATTAACATATTTAATATGTCAGACATAGATTATGTCTATTTAACATTTTCATTTCATCGAAACCATAAATTAATACTTCTCTCAAATATTAAAGTAACGTTAATTTAGTAAAGTTAATTTAACATTATACATATGTCAATTTAACACAAACTGTGATTCCTGACGGTATTCAAATGTTTAATTCTAGTGTTAATTTTTTATATATTATACGTGTTACATTTTATCATATTTGTTTTGTGTTAAATTTACATATAAATAAGAGTGGGTGATTTGGGATGACATAAAATTGTTAAACTTAACACATCAGTTTTTACAGTGTAGTCTGCAGTATATAAAAAATATATAAAAACATGGGGAAATAATTTACTGAGAAAAATTATTTGATAAGAAATTAACAAACAGATATTTCCGATCAAAATACCAATGAATTTCCATATCCGATCAGGAAACATCCGATGAAAAATATCGGTCATAATTTTTTTTTATCTGATGAAATGCTATTATGATAAAAAATATTCGATTAAATTTAATCAGATATCCTGATCGGGTATAAAAATTCATCGATGTTTGAATTGGAAATATCCGTTTGTTAATTTTTTATCGGATAATTTCCCTCAGTGTGGTTATGTTTTTTGCTAACATGGTAAAACTAGAGTCCTATATAAATAGAGAAGCGACATTAAGAATCGATAAGTGCAATATATCGAAAAGCCGCCATCTTGTTCTTCTATATGAGACAGACCTGACGAATCGGCTATATTGAAAGAAAATATATGACAGATAGAAGTCAAGGTTAGGTTATAGGATAGAATAAAAATTTATATAAATAATAGCTGCTTGCTTATAATTTTAACTTATTACATTAAAGCTGCAGTAAATATTCTTCTGTAACGTCAACTGCGAGTATGTTCTACTGTATTATTAATCTTTACTTGTTTATAATAGGAAACAACATGGCGCAAAATCACGTGATTCAATTAATCAATCAGACAGCTTTTCTCAATGTCGCTTCTCTATTTATATAAGCTTCTCTATTTATATACTCTTGGTAAAACAAACCGGTACATATTTATGTAAGATATACGTGCAAGAAATACGAGAAGAATAGCATGATCATATTAGTGACAATCGCTTCTATGTTATAGACAATTTTCGAGTTCGTTATCCACTTCCGAATTTCTGAATCGTTCACATTTTTCAGAAATTCCTTTTTCAAGAATTGGTCCCACCAAACTTTTCTTCCTGTATACAATTGGTAAAACTAATTATTTCACTTTCTTCATTATTCGCGAGACTATCAATGAATTTATTGCGCAGCATTTATGAGCCGCAGCCTCGTAGATTTGTTCCCCTTGTTTACCAATTTAATACATCTTATCAATCAATCGTATCCAAATAATCAGGTAGCCAATACTTGTTGATAAATTTATTGGTATCTACCAACGATATATATATTTATGAGGCATCTCTAATGTATCTCGGGAGGACTTTGTGGGGCAGAGCGCGGACTTGAAACGAATCGCGGACGCGTCCGATCCTCGCAAACGCCACTCGAGTTCGCGCAACAAACGTGCTCACCTGAGTGTAGACTAGAGGAACGCAAACGGTATCGTAACCAATCAATGCGCCAAGCCTCTTCCGGATATCGCTGAGCTCGACGAGGAGAGTTTGCACCACCTGATCACTGGTGATCAATGCCTCCTTCCTCGCCCTGTTGATGATGTTGGTCGCCCATACGAGCGGCATCCAATACTTCGACATGGCCGCTTTCTTATTCATCATCTCGAAAATCTTCTTCTCCGATTCCATCATCAGACCTGTGAACAGACAAATGGTCGATCGTTACATAAGCGAGATTATTTTGCGCGACCCGAGCGAAAGAAAAGAAAGCAAGAAAGAAAAAAAATGGAAAACATTTCCGGACGTCCCGGCGGCGAACTGTGTATTTAATTACGAGAACTTTCCCCGCGCGAGACACCTGAGAAAAATTTTCTCAGCGGGATACGCGCGCCTGGATATCGTAAATCGCGATCGATATCGCAGGGCAGTAAGTCAGCGAGCCTCCGCTGCAATCCCGCGTTAATTAACAAATCCATCAGCATGGTTCGTTAATCGGCAACGGATTATCAAAACATCAGCGTCTCTCGCCGACTTTCTTCGCGGCGCGCAAGCTCCGTCGCGCATTTGTAGACGCGCGTTCTTCTCGGCTGGACTCGTACGCGAAACGGAATGAAGTTCTGACATGAGTGTGCGAAACACGAAGAGCGATGTAGACGCTCGTCGTTCGCGTAATAGTTTCCTCATGAAGTGAGATAGCCGTTTTCGAACTTGCTTAATTCCTTATTATCGTACTTTACTCGAGCGAATTTTTTGTGTCAAACATTGCGTTTCATGTCTTGTTCACGCATCACTTAGTATCGTACGTTATTTTAAGATGTAAATTGAAATATATCTCCATAAGTTTTGAAATAATTGCAAATATATTGTTCCGCGTGAATCAATTTTACTTCATATATTAAGGAAAAATTTTCTATCATATTTCTGTGTATGTAAAATAGCATAGAGTCAATATAACAACTAAATTTATTGAACAAAAATAACGCGATCGGAATATAGAAGTTCCTATCATCTGCATTGAGAGAAAAAATGGTTAATCTAACTAAATTAAACTAATTAAAATTATAGTTATCTTTGAGCCCAATCATTTTTAATAAAATAGTAGCAGTTACATACATACTATCACTATTATCACTAACATTATAGCAGAATTTAATTTTTAAAATGTTTCTTTACCACAAATGTATAATAATTATTTCTCTATATATTTATAGTTATAAATTTTTTAAATATAACTAAAAAATTTTTTTCTTATATATATATATATATATATATATATATATATATATATATTAGGGCCTTAACTTAGTTTCCGCCCGCAAATGTTAGATGGCAATGCAAACAGTTCTAGTAGTCATTACTAACGAAACAGGTAGTTTGTGATTAATTTCGACATTTCTCGATAACATTCAGTCAGCATACACAATTATTTTCCTAAACAACAATTTCTTTTGCTTTGTGAAAAATGGAACGCGATAAAGTGTTTTTTCGACATGTGCTTTTGCACTATTTTGATTTGAAAAAAA